TTCAAGCGCAATAAAAAAAATTAGTAAAAACCATAAACCTGAAAAATAAAAATAAAAATTATTTAGTAATTTTTAATTAATAAATTAGGAGAACGTCATAACAAAGGAAGCTTTTACACGATTTTGTATTTGTTTGTAGACTTTCAGTTTGTCAGGGTAAATATAATTGATATTAATATATAATATTATTCCTTTTATAAGTTTTAAATTAACTGTTTAAATTTTCGCTGTAAAGATAGAAATCATTTTAAATCAATTTTTGTTGATTTTACTATGTGTTTATTTGAAAAAAACCTGCTTTGACTTAGGAATCAAAGTATTTCAATTTAGGGACCCAGTTGCTTCGATTGGAACGAAATGGTACTTTGCAAAAACAAATTTATTTCAAATAACAGTACAATCAATTATGTCAAATTATGGTTAAAAGTATAGCACGGCTATCTGTTTTTATAAATCAAATTATAAATGTTTTCATAGTTAAACCATCTTTGATTAATAAATATTTATTCTTAAAGTGTTCCAATTAAGGCAACTCTCTCTATACAAAATGAGATTTTTTTTTTATTTGTAATTTGTATGTCAGTTTTTAAGACTTTGTCACAATGTGGTTGTGTATCTCACTTTGTCACAATGTGGTTATGTGGCTCACTTTGTCACAATGTGGTTGTGTGGCTCACTTTGTCTTAATGCCATGCACATTACTACATCGTGACAAAGTCTTTAGATTAGTCTGTTCAACGAATCTAAAACACTTTTCGTGTTTTTCTGTTTCGCAGTGAATACCTTGATACAAAGTTAATTTTGTACCGTTGGACGTCCCAAGATACAGGTTAATTCAAGAGTAAAATAGTATTAGAAAGAAAAATAATATCCTTAGTCGATAAGAAATTTTTTCATCGTGCGATGAAAAAAAAATAATCCAAGGAACAAAAATCAAGCAAAAACTGTAGACGCTACTAGTACAGAGTTATAAGCAAATGAACTTTTTATCTAATGAAAAAAATTGTGATATTTCTATGCAAGAATTAATACAAGGAGTTTTGGAAGAAGGACCCTATATTTCATTGACAGTATAGTCTTTGAGGAAAATATGTTTTAGCTAAACTTTCTGATTCTATTTGTTTATAATTGATACTAATAAAATTTGTTACTATAAAGCAATGGCTTGAAATAAAAAACGAGTTGTATATGAAATTCAATATTTTGTTTAAACTGAAACAAGAAACTTCCTATTAAATGGTGAAACACCCTCGAAAATAGATTGCTAAGATTTTTATGATAGTTATACAAATAATTCATTTTAGCTTTTTTTTTTCAGGATAAAAAACAAAAAAATATAAATATATATATATTTAATAAATATATATATACATTTCAATACTTTAATTTGAATTAAATAAGATTTGTTTGCTAAAGTATCGACTCATTTCACTTTGTTTCAGACATTTTTATCCATCAGTTACAACACCCTAAATCCCAAAATATAATAGATAGAATAGTTAATTACTCTATATATTTAAAAATAAATTTTAAATTTTTAGATGTTGACGTGCTGTCTAAATGCTTGGTCTTATTGGAGTTTGGAAAAAAAAAAAAAAAATGAAAATAATAAAACTATTATACAAAACATAAATATAGTTTTGTATAATAAAACTTTTTATACAATGTGTAAATATAGTTTTGTATAATAAGGAGCTTAATAATGCTTATTCGTGTGTATTTGCGACATAAAACTCATGGTAGCCATTAAAATCAAGTTAATGGCAAAACTAAGTCTTTCAGCACTTTTTCAATAAGAAAATGTGAAAGAATATCAATGTGAAAGAGTATCTATTTCTAACTATTGTAAATTTAAAGTAGTATGCTTTTATAATATACCTTGGTGACCTAATTAGATTGCTCGCTGTGCAACTGCTAATAAGGTCGGTGCATTGCGGTATTTCGAATCTTACCATTTCAAAATACAAAATAAAACATCTTTAATTCGATTGGTATTAATTACACATCTATATCTATAAATAAAATTCCTTTTTTACCTGCCCAATAAACGGGTGGTTTAGGTTAACAATTAACAAGAGAAACATATTTTTTTAGAAAATCTAAAAATTTCTTGAAAAATTATCGCGCATTTTTTATGGAAACGCTTATGTTTTGAATTCGTTTGGAACAGAGATACTTATGTTTTGAATGTTATTATATAATTAGTTAAGACTGAGCGTTTTGCACACATTAAAAAGATAATTTTCTTTCTTAAAGAAGAAAAGTTTTACATTCAAACTCTTTTTATTCAAAATTAAAATTGGGGTAAGGGTCCCCGTTTTTTTCAAGTAATAAGTAGTTTTAAAGTATAGAACATTACTTGTTATTTCAAAGCCAATATTTTTTATATTTTTTTGTTTTTTACCATTTTCTTTATTTTAGTTTATTGAAATAAATCAACTATATAAAGAATAAGTATATAAATAGCAAGTGTCGAGCAGACCTACCATAACCATATGTTACGGTCCAGGTAGTATATATATATATATATATATTTCAGGATTAAAAAATTCTTTGGCTTCTCGGATTTAAAAAAAATGCTATGTAATCTTATTAGTTTTGTATTCAAAATTTTGTCTCGCCAAAGCAGTGTTATGTCTTCAATACGGCGTCGTAGTTTTAAAAATATTATGTTGTTAATTTAAAAATATATTTGCGTGTAAATGTTTTAAACTTTAAAAACATGTTTTATATGTATGTATGTATGCATATATGTATGTACGTATGTATATATAAATATAAAGTGTTCTTATTTTTGTGTAAATATATATATATATATATATATATATATATATATATATATATATATATATATATATATATATATATATATATATATATATATATACATTAAAATAAAAACTCTTTGCATAAGGTGTTCTTATTTCTTAAACTTTACAGTGATTAAAGCCTGAGAACAAAAAAAATTTGTACTCTCAAAGTCAAGGGGTTATAGTGATTTTTTGACTTTAGTGTTGTTAAAAGTATTCCTTTTTTATTTCCAAAATTCTTTTAAAACTTTTACGAAAAAACTTACATTATATAAGTTTACTATTATTTGTTTATTTAATTATACATTTTCAAGTTTTGGGTTTTTCGTTAAAAGTACATTTATAAAAAATGTTTAGAAGTTTTTTATGTTAACCATTTTTTTAAAATCTAAGACGAAATACCGTTAATCTTCATACCGCCGAATAGAAACTATTTAAATATTATAATATCAATTCTTTTGTTTGATTTAACGTTGCTATAATTTATACAAATATGTCAACTTTTTTTTTATTTATTATTGTACTTTTGATGATATATGAAACTTAAATTTTATAAAAAAAGTTGTAAATAAATTATATTTAAAGTAAATTTCAACAAAATCAGAGGTAAAAAGGGTAAATTTGAAAAAATTCAAAACAATGTTTCTTGATTAATTTTGATTTAAACTCAATAATTTTTTGTCTATAGCTTCTTTACATTATTATCATTCATTTCTACTAAAAGAATAAAAAAAAATAATTAAAATACCAAAAACGGGACACAATACTTAAAAATCACAATTTTATACACACTAAAAACATGTATTGTGTTATAAACACTATTCTTAGTTAGTTTTAGTACATCTGAAATCTTGATGATTAAGGAACTGAAAATTTCAGCCAAAAAGCAATTTAATACACAAAAAAAAATCAATCACAATTTAATACACAAAAAAAACATGTATTGTGTTATAAAAACTGATAAAACTATTCTTAGTTGATTAAATCATGATGATTAAGGGAACAAACAATTTCAGCCTAAAAAAAACACAAAAAATTTCAGCCTAAAAAAAACACAAAAAATTTCAGCCTAAAAAAAACACAAAAAATTTCAGTCTAAAAAAAACACAAAAAGTTTCAGCCTAAAAAAAACACAAAAAATTTCAGCCCAAAAAAAACACAAAAAATTTCAGCCCAAAAAAAACACAAAAAATTTCAGCTTAAAAAAAACACAAAAAATTTCAGCCCAAAAAAAAACAAAAAACTTCAGCCTAAAAAAAACATAAAAAATTTCAGCCTAAAAAAAAACACAAAAAATTTCAGCCTAAAAAAAAATTTCAGCCAAAAAGCTTTTTCTTAATCTCGAGTCATGTTTTGAAGTTTCAAAAAAAATAATAAAATTAAAGAGTTGAGAAAACAACAAAAAGTTTTTCGATAAATAAAAATTATTAGCAAAATAAAACAATGAAACTGACAAATAAAAAAGTTAAAGTAAAGTAATTGTTATAAATATTTTATGCAAAATGTACATATTTTCTGAAAGTATGATAAATTTTGCGTAGAATTGTATATTAGCAATAAATTCGAAATTTTTTTTTAATTGAGTATTTTTTTCTATATGAGCCACCTTAAAGACAAAAAATTAAAGCAACGATACGTCAGCCACAACGTTTTTTTTTTAATATAAAAAAAAACCCTACCTAAACCCATTTTAATGGGCCTTCATATGAAGATTTAAATTTTTTGTTTGTTGAGAACTTTATTGTAGATTATTTTGTTTATTTTATGAATATGTTGCCCTTTTTTTTTGCTAGTCCAGGAGGTTGTTACAGTAAAATTTTAACAATTTGGTATTAAGTATTAACATACCAAAAGTACCAGTTCCCATGACCCGTTTTATGAGTCCTTTTTTTTTACTATTTAAAATTCATAATTTCAATTATAATACATTTCTTATAAAAATATTTTGAGAAATCAATAGTAAAATTAGAATTATATTTGTTAAAAAAAAAAAAGTATTTTAAAAACCCAAATTGTTTAGCTAATAAACTTTTTGCAGACATAATTTCGGCAATTCGCAGACGATTTTTAAATACTGTTTAATCTAATGATAAAAAATGTTTTTTATTACTGAAGCGAATCATCAAAAACGATTTTTATTTTAAACGCTTTAGGCATATACGATATTCTAAAGCAATTAAGACAACTTACCTTTTACAGGTTTTATATGATTTCCAAAACTATAAGTTAAAGCAATTGATAGAATCAAAATGTGTCGTAACATTTTGTTATAAAATATGTAACACCGAGCCTCTCGTGAAAAACTTATTTCAAGAAATGAGTTGTTAAAAGGATATTTAAGACTGAATGATCAGAAAACGGATTAAATTAAAAACAGTCTTTTCAATAAAAGATTTGAAATATAATTAAGTTAAAATATTTGTCTTTTGTTCAGATATTTAACAAAACCTGATGGTCAGGAAAAATTCCGAAATGGTATTAAAATACTTTAATGAAACTTATGAACACACCGCACTGGATTTATGTTCTAAGATAGTTCAATACGTATTTTAAACTTTTTAAGCTAAATCAATAAGTATATTAAGATTTTTATGCTAGAAAAAAAAAAAAATTCTAAACAATGTACTTAACTAATTAAAAGTTTTCTATTATTCTATTAAATTCTTTTTTAATTTATATGCTAATAGAAATGATGTTGAGAACAATAATATTGGGAGGGGGTAAATCTTAAAAAAAAAGCCAACTCAATAAAATAACCGTGAGTTTTTGCGTACATAGTAAACTATGAAAATAAATTGTATATTATAATATATTACTATATATTGCTTTTTGCGACTTGTTAAATACATAATATTTATAATTATCTTCACATTTTACATTTTTAGCAAGGGTTGTCCTAAAAATGTTTTGTTTTTTTGTCCTCTAACCTGTAATCAATTAATACTAAATAAATGTTTAATAGTTTTTATTATAGTTACAAACTACTGTTATAATTGAAGAAAAGAACATTAATGTAATGGAAGACTTTCGGGTAAAAACATAGATTTAAAAAAATTTAAGTCTTCAAGTGTGGCCAGTGCCGGATCAAGGTGGGGGGGGGGGGGGGGCTAGGGGGGAGTTTTCAAGTGTGGCCAATTATAATTTCTGCATTGCAACTTTTGAATAATGTTAAAAGTTGACGATGATGTTTATTTAAAGTATTAATTTTGTTATTAAAAAACAATATATATATATATATATATATATATATATATATATATACATATATATATATATATATATATATATATATATATATATATATATATATATATATATATATATATATATATATATATATATATATATATATATATATATATATATATATATATATATATATAAAATTCTTAAATCAACAAAAAAATATATTTATATCTATTTTTAAACAATTTTTTTTAATCTAAAAACCGCACAATTGAAATTACGATGCAAATCATCCTAGATTTTAAAATTCAAATCTGCTAATCGCATTAAAACGTATGCTATTGGTAAAAACGTTTTTAATTTTAATACTCACTAATAATACTATTGTATGATTTGCAATGCAGTTTGCCATATTTTGCTTCAACAAAAGAGAAACCGAACTGGATAAACCGGTTTTGGTGTATTAAAATACCGTACTACCACTACACTTTTTCAAGATGCAATTGAGAACATGAAAGTTGCAAACAAGAAATCATAAGATTTATTTGAAAAGATGATAGTTATAATTAAGAAAAGTTTGTCATATAGATTCTCAGGACAAATTTCATTGCATTTTAATTTTTGAAGCCTTAATTTACTATATAGGGTAGATTAGAGTAATATGAGCACCTTGGTAGTATGAGCATACTTAAAGATTTCTTAGATGTAAGCAGTCAAGTTAAAGTTGTTCAATTCAACTTTATGTGGTGATAACTGAAATCAGTACAATTAGCGTAAATTTATATGCTGTATTTAGCGGCTATCATCTAATTAAAACTCTGTTAACTTTTTTGCGTTGTTAAAATAATATCATCACGCATTATCTGTGGCGCGAAATTTTGGTGTTAAAATGACGAAATTTATTTTTTCATAAAGAAAAATATGTTAGCTAAATATCTAATTCATTTTTGTTTGAAAAACAATGAATAGAATCACTTAGTTTTGACTTTATTTAAAGATGCCATTTTAGTGTAATATGGAGCATGCTCAAATTACCCTGTGTTTTTCATTGAAATTACCTAGTTTAAAGTCGTGGTCTTAATTGCTTTTTAAATAAAAACACAACATAGAAAAAATTTTAATACTTTAACAATACTACTAACAATAACCTGATCTGGGTAGTATGAGCTCTTTTGCTACTTTTTTAAAACATCTGTGTTTTAAAAAGAAAATTTCGGGTGCCCAAATATCTAAGCGAGTTATGAGTAGTAATCCCTAAAAATTGTTTATTCTAAAAATTTTTGGATCTAGCATTACTATTTTTGAAAATATTCAAATTTTCCCTTAAGATGCTCATATTACCCTAGTCTACCCTATGTATTTAAAAATCACCGTAATGTTCAGTTAAACACCAACTTGGACATCTTCCATATTACAAATCGTTTCGTTAAGTGTGGTCACATGTTGTACAGTAAGTGCACAATCATCTCCCAATATTTTATTTTTTGGCAAAGTAACTCAATCTCAGCACCAAGTATAGGTGGAATGCGATTCGCATTTTTAACTTTACTTTTAATTTTGGATCAGATTATTTCCACCGGTTTTAGCATTGGACTGTAGGGTCTCTAACGTAACAACTGAGCTGGTGAATTTTCAAACGCTCCTTCCCAACGAGCGTTACAAGAATTATTTGCTGTTATAACAATTAAACCCTTAGAATAACTTCCGAATGTAACCCACTGGTAACAAGAGACCGCATTAAATGATTCTCCGCGAGTTTCTATCACGACAACAATTGCTGCAATCAAATGTGTTTGAACGCTTTTGCTCTTCTTCCTTGTCTTGCGAGTCTTTGTATTTTTCTCCGCTATCGGTTAAAATTTGTTATATCCAATCAGACTATCTGATGAAAATTTTTGATATCTTCGTTGATGTTCCTAACATATTCAGCTCTTTTTTTTCATGACTGTTTATTGTTGGAGGGACCTTTTTTTAATTAAAATAACCTACTTTTTAGGTAGTTGGCGATTGTATTGTTGTGGTAATGTTTATATGAAATTCTTATAATATTTTGTTTGGATGGCATCCATTGTCAACAGACAATCCCTTTTAATCCGTGTTAAAGTTTCTTTAGTTTTATATTCGGTCAATTTTTTTTGTCTTGAACCACCTTATCCGATGAAACTTGAATGTTTAACAACTTATCAACATGTAATTTAGAAATGACAGATCATTTCTAAATTACATGTTGTGTTTGAAGAATTTAAATTAAACTAAGTCATCTACAGTAAATAAAATAATAAATTTGTTTGATTATGTTCAATCAGACAAAGATGCTGTCTTTAAATAAGGTGTTCTAGCAGAAGTGTTAAATAATTCAAAAGAGATGGGTGTCAAATCTCTTGAAACAATGCAAGTTTTCTTCCGTTAAGCAGCCAACGGATTCCCAGTCTTAACGGCTCTTTCATCTTTTACTGTTGGTTGAATTTATTTGGTCTAATATTGAGAAATGGCCGTCAGCTAAGCAAAACCAAATAACACCTCTAGTATACTTCACTTTCCATTTTGTAAAGACTTTACTGGCGCTGAGAATTGCTATACTGGTCATTTTTTAGCGCATTATGATATTTTACTGTAAAAACACTCTTTACGTGCCCTAGATACGTGCCATTAACGCTTAGATATTCTTTTCACCATTATTAGGTAATTATTACTTAATTCATTTATTAATTAATTAGTTTCCCTATGTATGTGTAAACCACCCTCCTATTGCACTTTGAGCTTCATTTTGTATACTGGTTAATAATCTACAAATGACATCCTTTTTAGTTTATTGTGCGTTAATTTTATCCCAAAATCGCAGCAACCAGCCAAGATGTATAGAATTTTATTACGCTTATTTCGGCAGGATTGACATAAGTTTTAACGAAGCTCTTGATGCTATCTTTATTTAGTAACTCTTTGACCATGTTTTCTCTAAAAATTGTTTTTATATGTATGCGAATTTCTTTCTCAGGATTATTTTGTGGGTGTAAAACCCACAAAAATAATCGTGAATTTTATGCTCATATCAAAAATCACTATCAGAACTATTTATCATTCCTATAAAAGGTTAAAACAGAAAAAAAAAACTATCGAACCACCATTTAACATAAAAGATACCAGAAATCTCATTTTGAATTTTGATGGTCGACAAATTATTGGGAATGCATTAGTATCTACCGCCTTTCAATAATTAGACCAAGCAATTAAGTGAAATCAAGGCCTTATGTATGCATGTTTGTATGTTTGTATGTATGTATGTATGTATGTATGTATGTATGTATGTATGTATGTATGTATGTATGTATGTATGTATGTATGTATGTATGTATGTATGTATGTATGTATGTAAGTATGTATGTATGTATGTATGTATGTATGTATGTATGTATGTATGTATGTATGTATGTGTGTATGTTTGCATGTATGTATGTATGTATGTATGTATGTATGTATGTATGTATGTATGTATGTATGTATGTATGTATGTATGTATGTATGTATGTATGTATGTATGTATGTATGTATGTATGTATGTATGTATGTATGTATGTATGTATGTGTGTGTATGTATGTATGTATGTATGTATGTTTGTATGTATGTATGTATGTATGTATGTATGTATGTATGTATGTATGTATGTATGTATGTATGTATGTATGTATGTATGTATGTATGTATGTGTGTATGTATGTATGTATGTATGTATGTATGTATGTATGTATGTATGTATGTATGTGTGTGTGTATGTATGTATGTATGTTTGTATGTATGTATGTATGTATGTATGTATGTATGTATGTATGTATGTATGTATGTATGTATGTATGTATGTATGCATGTATGTATGTATGTATGCATGTATGTATGTATGTATGTATGTATGTATGTATGTATGTATGTATGTATGTATGTATGTATGTATGTATGTATGTATGTATGTATGTATGTATGTATGTATGTATGTATGTATGTATGTATGTATGTATGTATGTATGTATGTATGTATGTATGTATGTATGTATGTATGTATGTATGTATGTATGTATGTATGTATGGATACATGGATAAATATTACCAATCCATGTATGGATACATACAATATCCATGTATGGATACATGGATAAATATTACCAAAAAATATTTTTAACGTACTTTTAGTTATTAAACCATAAGAAATTGAAAAATTTCTATACAGTTAACTAAATCTAGCGCGTATTTTTGGAGTTAAGAGATTAAAAAGTTTATATTTTTCAGAAATGTTATTGAGGTATTTTTAGGAATTATTATTTTAAACAGGACAACGGTATGCTTTAAGCAATTTAGATTTTTATTTTTCATCAGTACTGTAAAGTTTCCAATTGCCTTAGTCTTAAGTTGTTTCTTCTAGTTTAAAAAATATATATTTGTATTGACTTGAAGCAACTCTAATTTAACGTTTGAACATAAACACTATATTTGATATATTCTAATTGAGTTAATGTTTAATGCATTTTAACTTTAGAAGCGAGTTTCTACCATCAATAGAGGGTACTTAACATAGTTTAATGAGTTTTTTTCACATGTTATATTGGTGTATGTTAGATAGCTGTGCATAAAAAAAAATATGGTTGTCATAGCAATAAAACTGCTCTAGTTATGTCTTTCTACTAAATTTCTACTAAAAAAAAAAATGAAATTGAAATTTATTTGACTAGCTTAAAGTAAAAACTTTCATTAATTCAACATTGCTTAAAATTACCAAATATCCATTTGCTTCAAAAATTGCTTTTCAAGTCATAAAAATGCTAATGCGTAATAGTGTAAAACTTTATTTTACACCATTATGCAGTTTTTTAAAATGAAATATAGCAGTATAACCTTTATTTATTATTTTAAAAATAATTTTTAGTTGAAGACTACGACTACTAAACAGTCTCTTGAATCAAATCTTGTCTTTTTATTTAAAATAAGAAAAACAGTATGAATTAATAGATGCCCAGTGGGCACAGAACGTGTTTATTTAATGAATATAATATATTCAACAAATAAAAATCTACTATATTATAATGGTTTTAATAAAAATCATTTCATTGATTTTAGCTAGTCAAACTTCCTGTTTAAGCAATTTTTAGTTATTCTTTTTTAATTTTTTACTTAATTAAAGGATTTTTTTTAACAATTGTGTGGGTAAAAGCATAATATCGCAATAGCTTAAAACAACTTTGATGTTTTCCGCTTAATTAGCTTCCATCTGTTTTATAATCTTACCAGTTTTTTTATCTGATTTGCAGTAATATAGGAATGAGTCACCATTAAAAGTTGAGAAAAAATATTTTGACATGCTATATAGAAGAAAATCCGAATTTTACCTAATTTAGGTCCAATAGGTTTATCATTGATGGTAGTCATAGCTGAAGCATTTTTCGGAAAATACAAAAAAAGAGCCCTTAATACAGCCTTGTTAATTCATTCTAACCAATAACTTACAAAAGATATGTATGCCCATGCTCGCTTCGATTCGAAAGAAAAACAAGAACTATTTCTTAAAACTTTAAATGAACAAAATCCCTCCATAAAATATACTGTTGAACTTAAAAACGAAGGAAAACAACTAAACTTTTAGATATTTCTATTACAAATACAATGAACGGATTTTTTGAATTTCAAGTACACCGTAAGGATGCGATAACCAACGTTCAAATAAAACCAAATTCTAACATCAACCCAAGCATAATCACTGGCGTCTTAAAAGGATTTCTATGTAGAGCAAAACAAATCTGCTCTAAAAATATCTCTCACAAGAAATTGATTTCCTTGTAAATACATTCTTTCAAAACAGTTATAACAAATCTTATTAAAACAATGAAAAACTATTTAGACACATTTCAAAAAATAGTGCATCTAAACAATTGGATAAGCAATTTGTTAAACTACCATGAATACCTATTATTGGCCCTAAACTCCAAAGAGAATTTAGAAAACAAAACATCAAAGTTATATTTACTTCAGCCCCCAATTTAAATAATATACTATGCAATAACAAAACAAAACTACCTCCGAACTCAAGTTCGAGTGTTTACGAGCTTCAATGTTCATGCGGAAGTATATATATTGGTGAGACCAAAAAGAAAATCTCTTCAAGAAGTGCGGAACACCAAAGAGCCTGTAAAAATCAAAAATGGTCGAGTTCAGGAGCCACGGAACATTCTAGAACATGCCGTGGTATTTTTGATTGGCTGAATCCTAAGACCTTGGCCGTCATTCCAGAATACAAGATAAGAAAAGTTAGAGAATCCTCGGAGATGAATAAAGCAAAAGTTCGACACGAGATAGGTATTAGGCTCTAAATAGAGATGACGGGGATAATGTGAAAGCAAAAACTTGGGGACCAATTTTGACAAAAATTTAACTGAAGTCACTTTTATATTATTTGATTGGTTTTTATATTTTACACTTTTTAATGTCTTCTTTTTTAAACGTTTTTTCATAATCAGCAGCCGTATTCTCATCTCTCCGTTAAGCTTAACGGAGCGTTTGTCAAAAATTTCATTACAGCATTTCTAAGTAAAGAAGTGACAAAAACTTTATTTTAATTTGTTTAAATAAAACTAAGACTGAAATAAAACAATTTTATTAAAAAAGAATTTTAAAGAATTTTTTTTATTAATGTAGTTAAAAAGAACTTTTTGACAAAAGCTCCGTTAAGCTTAACGGAGAGATACGGCCACTGGTTAAATATATATGCGGAAACTTGTAATGTTTTTATGTCTGTACTTGTGTTCTAAATCATATATACGTAAATATATATATATATATATATATATATATATATATATATATATATATATATATATATATATATATATATATTTGATTTTTGATGTATACATAGAGAAAATTACATACATTTTTATTTAAAGTTTTATTTACCACCTCCTCAAGTCAATTAAAACTTTTAATCCTGTATTTTTTTAAGTTTCATTATAGATACAGTTACGGTCAAATAAAAGACGAAGACAAATGAAGTCTTTTTAAATTTTCTATTGGTACATGCAAAATTACTAAATAACTGATTATCGTTATTTATTGTATTTTTTTTTATGTTCTAGTTAAACAACCTAACACTGTTTTACTTGTTATTTTTACAATTGTTTTATAAATAAACTTATTGCTAAGGAGACTAGTTAAATTAGTTTAAACTTTAGATAAACTGCTTTAGATAAACCTACAAATTAAACTAAATTAACCTCAGTAGTTAAATTAGTAGGTTTTTTTTTTCCAAGAATTATCTGTCTAAGTAAAAATTTAAAAGGTTTATTTTAAAACTTTTACTTAAACACGCATATTTCTTAAAAAAAAGCACCATGCTGATTTAACTTTTTAAAACTCAAATAATTAAATTAAACTCTAAATAAAAGTATGAAGTTCTACTATTAACTAGAGATGTGCCGAAACCAGTTTATGCCGAGTCTCCGATTCCGGGTACCCGGCTGAAAAAACTGGGTCGAGTCCGGGTACTCGGCACCGAGTCCATTTTTTTAAAGTTGGAATAAAAATTTGTGAAATCTCTAGGGCTGAACTATTCACACAAAATACGCTTTTTACGCTAACTAACAAAGAGTTATGTGGCCGACGTACTATTTAGCAAAACCTTGCAATGCAGGGTAAGGGGCCTGAGTTGCAGGGCCTAACTATTTTAAAAAGTTGTGCAACAGTTTTTTAACAACTATATTTAGTTTAAAATTATTTTTCTTTCCTGGTGGAGCGCGCCTAAATAATATTTTGTGGGGAAAGGGGCAAAATTTGAAGTTCCGCCATTGAAAGTTATATTATGGAAAGCAAAAGATTAAGAAATATAAAGAATTGCAAAAAAAGGTAGACCTTCTCGACTGTACAGTGAATAAAATAAAACAAATAAAAAGAACTTAAACAACACTTATTTGCTGTATCTTATTTTAATTGTTTTATTAACTTTAGATTGTAATGCACAAACATTAGGTATTCTCCGTTATCTGCTTTTAGTCTGCTCCTTGTTGCTTCGTATATGTCCCCACCAGCACTAAATAACCTTTCACTTTCTATTGATGACGGAGGTGCTGTAAGATATTTTAATGCCATCTTTTTTAGTTTTTCAAATTGCATTCCACATTTACTCCACCACAAAAATGGAGAACTTTTATTTTCTAAAAGAGGCAGAGATAAGTAGTTGTCTATTTCTTGAGTAATTGCAGACTTTAATATTGTTTGCTTTTTAATTATGTCAGTGGTAACAACTTCAATATCTACTAATTCTCTTTCTGCCTCGGAACGTCTTTCACTTTGCTTTCTTCCGGTTCTCATAGAAGCTACATCTTTAAAACAATCATCAATGCTAATGAATCCATTAGATGCTGGAGCTTTTACTATTGGAGCATTGTCGGAGTCAGAGTCAACAACATCTTGCGCTCCTTGCATTTCTTTCCATGCTTCTTCAACCCACTCCTTAATAACATTTTCATCTGCATGTTGATAAAGTAATTTATATCGTGGATCCAAAAATGTTGATACACATAACATTTTATTAAGCAAAAATTTATGAAGTCTTTTAGTAACAGATTTTATTAGTTCATCAATCATCGTCATAATCCCAGCGTATATATCACTTGATGAAGCTTTTTGTAATAAAACTTTTAATGCAAGAACAGATGGTATAATTTGTGCGCAAGTTTCGTCCCTCCTACCACATTTTTTTGTTAAGTTTTCAAATGGAGCAAGAATGTGAACAAGTTTTTCGACTATTCCCCATTGATAATTAGTAGGAAGTTTAATTTCATCATATTCTGCTGCACAGGTGGCCAAAGGAACTTTTTGTTCAAACGTTCTTTGTAGCATTTCAAATGAACTGTTCCAGCGAGTTGGAACATCTTGTTTCATTTTGTGAGGTACAGTACTTAACTGCTGCTGAATTGATTTTAATTTTGCACATGCTATTGGTGAATGATTAAAATGTGTCGTTATTCCTCTGCATAAAGTTAAAATTTCCTTAATGATTTCTTGGCTAAATATAGAGTCATGAATACATAGCTGCAAAGTATGGATAAAGCATGGAATTGATGACATTCCACTGTTTTTTACTGCAGCCTTTATATTGCTTGCATTATCGGTAACAATAAGATGAATTTTGCTTAACGGGATTTCAAAAGTTTCTAAACCTTTTTGTAAATACTCTTTTATATGAACACCTGTGTGCTTTTCCGGAAAATGAATTACTCGAAGAACAGCAGTTTTTTGGGAAAATTTAGTTAGATCTATCCAGTGTCCAGTAATGCTTAAAAATGCGATTTTTGCAGTATCCGCTGTCCAAATATCTGTCGTCAGAGACAAATATTTTGCCGCGGAGATTTTTATTTTTATATCTTTAAAAAGTTCATCATACATGCTAGGGATTACGTTTTGGCTGAAATATGTTCTACATGGTAATTTGTAATTGGGGTAAGCATCTTTAATCAGTTCATTAAACCCCGTATCTTCAACAATAGAAAATGGCTGAATATCCAATGTGATAAGTTTTCCTATTATTTTATGGATTCGAATAGATCTGTGGTTATCAATATTCCACTGTTTTTTTTTTTGTAAAGCCTGAATAATGTTACTTTGTACTGTATTGGTGGTACAAGCAACTGAGGCTTCAGAAATAGACGGCAACGATTGAACCTTTTTTTTTTCTTCCGCAAGTTCAAACTCTTTGGAATGCTTTAAACGCAAATGTTTTACCATTGCTGTAGTTCCATAAGACTTGAAAGACTTTCCTCCTCTCGTAATTAAACTATCACATAGTTTGCACTTACTCATATGAGGAGTCGTGCTTATATCAAAGAACTTCCACGCTATACTTTTTTTTGCCATAACTTTTCTTTCAAATAAAATTTCTATAAAGATAATGAAACTAGTTTTGATATCAAAGTTTTCGTTTATTTTATATGAAACGATAATTTTTTTAATAATACGCTCGAAATTAAAATATAAAAAATGTGTATAATATTTACCTTATATCTCTACTTTTATGATTTTTGCTTGATACGAATGAAAAGTCTATCAGCGTTCGAAAGCATTATAAGCGTTTCATTCAAAACTAAATTGCTACAAATTATCTTGTGTTCTAACAGAATAAAAAGAAGCTATTCTAAAACTTTGTTTCCCATTCTTTTTATTTGTATTCTCAAATTATTTCATTTAGCGTTACAGTTTTTGTATCCGTATAAATTTTTTTTGCAAAAGTGTATTAAAAAATATTTTAAGTGAGATTGTTTTAAGTTAATAAAACTTTGTGGTTATCGACTACATAACACTCTTAGACTTATATCAAAAAGTTTAATGGTTAAAGTTTAACTAAAGAAAAAATCAATTTGAAGATACCCGGTGCCGGGTACTGCAACAGAATGGCCGATACCGGGTACCCGGTAAAACTGCCGAATTACCGGGTCTCCGGGTCCGAACCGGGTACCCGGCACATCACTACTATTAACTAAAACCAGTTTCTGAATGTATCACTTATTCGACGTAAAAAACGTGACTAATCCTATTAAGTACGTAGTAGTTCGTATTAGTAAAACCTACAATGTTCCGAGTAAAATCCTTATTATTTCTTTTAAGTTCGAACTAAACCTTGCTAATCCTATAAGGTTCCTGGCTAGTACTCGACGGGAAATACGAGTAATGGCACGAGTACGAGTACTCGGCGGGAACTTAGTAGACTTATTAATGCGACTTAATAGGATTAACAGTTTTTGTTTTCTCTTAAAGATATTGCAGGCTGCATGGAATGTCCTAAAGTTATATAATCATTAAATGTTTCTAATTTATACTTAATTATATAGTATATATAATATAAATTATTATATTGTTTAAATCATTATTTTTACTTTATATCATTAGTGTAAAATTAGATAAAAACAATACAGGTTAAAGCAGATTTTTGTCATCATGGTTATGTAATGAGAGAACTTCTCAGGCATGATAGAACCGTTTTAAATCAAATCATTGTATAATAATAGTTTTTTGTTGCTTAAAGGTATCATGAAACTTAAATCTGTTTTTAAACTCACTCATACAAACTATTTGTCAGACCATACAAACTATTTGTCATGAGTATTATGTGTGAAATATATTGACAGGCAATACTTATGCTAAATGAATAATTGGTCTGTATTTTAATATTATAATGTTATTGCCTTTACAGCTAATTTAATATAAATAGTAAATTTTTTTTATGTTAAATACAAAATTCGAATGAAAAAAGTACTCTCTAATCAGCAAAAAACAAACTTGAAAAAAAATAAGAAAATCTGGATTCAAATAATAAAGAAATAAGGGGTTCCCGGACTTATCCTAGATGGAATTAGTCAGGGCTTTTGTTTTCCTGCTTTTTCCCCAGATTGTTTTTGCTTTTTTTGTTTTTTTCCATCTGAATTTTCCCGTGAAGTTAGAAAAGTCAGACGAGAAAAGCTTTTTTTAGCTTTTTTGTTAATGCATTTTTCTATCTACCGGACAAAATATATTCTGTTGGCTTTACGCTGCTAAGCTTTTTTTAGCTTTTTTTTTTTACGCTGATGTTAGAAAACAATAAATGTATTGCGTAGTTTACGAGGGATTTTATTACTTATTTTCTAGTCTTTTTCTGGATAAAAAACGGATGCTTAAGAGTGTTAAATGAATAAAATTTTCTTTTACTCATGCCATTTAAGTTAACTTTTCACAAAAGCAGTTCAGTGTCCCTACCATTAAAAAGCAGTTCAGAGTCCCTACCATTAAAAATACCATCAGTATCCCTACCATTAAAAATATTTTAAAAATATTTTTCAGAATGATTATTTAATCAAATTTTTCTCATCTGACAAAATATCGTCTAGATGTAGTTTAAAATATTACATTTTAAAAAATAAAATATTTATTCCTTATTTATTGTAAAGTGCTTCGATTTCCTAAAGAACTCCGATGTACGGAGTTGAAACTCTTTTTCCTGGATAACCCACACCTAACTTGTTTTTCCGTTGAAAAGCCAGCTATTTTATAAAATAAAATATGAAGCCCTAAAGGTTAGCAAAATTCTTGGCCTCTTTTGTTTGCTAAGAACTTGTGCAACTTTTTCTCTCAAAAAAATATGTTTTGCTTTTAAAATTCTTTTTGATCATTTTTTTAACAAACTATTTTGTGATTTTTATTCATATCTTTCTCTTTTGGTTTAGTTGATAAGTATGTTTTTAAAAGATTTTTCAAAGTAGCACATAGTGCATCAAAACTGTGAAGAAAGTGAAAGTTACATCAAACACATGTTCTATAAAAAATTTAATTAAATATAACTTTACAAGCGCTTGATCAACTACGGTATTTCAAAAGTTTTATATTTTAAAAGTGACCATTAAAGATTTCTTTAAAACTTTAAAATTCTCATCTTATCTCATTTTTAAATTTTGAAAAATTAAGTTATCATTTTTAAATTTTGAAAAATCTTTGAAATGATTTTGAAAGTTGTATTACTGTTGTTAAGTTATGAAATGCTCGTCGGTAAGATTTTATTATGTTATGAAATGCTTTGGTAACATGTTATTATATTAGAAAACACAATGGTAAAAACTATATTTTTAGAATGAAAAACATTATGTTAAGTATTATAATTTCGGTAAAAAAATTCACTTAGCGGTAAGAGCCGGTAGTTTACTGTCTGTATAAAATACAAATATAACTTTAAACTTTCAAGAAAACATTGTTTCTTTAAAATATTTCAAGAGTAAGTTTACCAAAAATTAATATTTATTGACGCATTCTTAATTATGCTTACTAAACTTTCAGTTGAATAGATATTAAGTTGGGCAAGTAACATGTCTCAAACGCGTCGCATGACAAAACGTCAAATGAATGAAAGAAGGCGTAGCAGAATGGTAATACTATGAGCAAAGGTTGTTAGATGGTAGTCGAGTAAGATGCACCGACACTTTTTTTATTTTAGTATCAAAATTATATAAGTTATTTTTCACTTGGTTCGTAAAATTTGTTTTTTCTAGTATCAGTTAAGTGTTAATATTGAACTTAAGTTTGTTTACATCTAAGTCTTACTTGTACCTTTATAATCTAATTTTAAATCAATTTTTATTAATTCTGTTTGTATATGTAATAAACCTTGAAAATCCTTGCACACAAAGAAAAAAAAACAACCCAACACTAAAGTTGTGTTTGCAGAGGCCGAATTATAAAGAGATAAATGATAACTTTAAAAAGCGGCTCAATCAATCATCATACCAGAAGCAGCTATTCACAAGCGTGTCAGCTGCGCTGGTAAAAAAGTTGACTTTGATTCAAACACGAGATTGCTGCAGCCACTTAAAAGAACTCAAATATCATCATCAAACTACTCGCTTGGGCTTTGATTGAACTTACAACAATGTTACGCTAATTACCAACATTGAAATACTAAGCTCTCATTTGCTGTCTAATGGTACTCCAGAGAGAGAGAGAGAGAGAGAGAGAGAGAGAGAGAGAGAGAGAGAGATTTGAACAAACTGTTCACCAACCAGTAGAGTCATAAGTTGAGCATCAGAGTTGTTATTAATACTTCTCAACATCTCCATCCAAACGGATAGAAGATAAGCAATTATTAGCTTGCTAGCGAGTACGTTTCGGCCATAAAATTCCATGTAACTAGGTTAATCTTAATTTTATTCAAATAACTATATAACTAAATAAATCATTATAATTATAGGTATACTTTACTAATTTACTAAATCAGTTGTTAAATCAATATTATTATTTTATTGTAGATAGACACTTGGCACATGTTACCTATTTTGTATTTTTTGTGTGGCCATGGCGCAATGGTTAGAGCGCTTGCTTTATAAGCAGAAGATCCAGGTTCGAAATGAGCTTTGGACATATTTTACGTCACGGTAAGGAAGGAGGCGTGAACTTCCTGGTTAAATGCACTTCCGCGGTGCGCTGTGACAAGACCATTAGGACTTCTTGGAGCACCTAAATAACAAATTAAAAAAAAAGGAAGAAAAAAATGTTAATGTTGCCAATACAGAATTTGTATTGGAAACAGCATCTCGTGAGCACTTTACTTGCTCATTCGTTACACATTCGGCAGCAACTATATACCTGTGTTTATTGCCATATCAAAAAAATTTGACATGGCAATAAACACAGGTATATAGTCGCTGAAAAAAAATCTGTGCAAGTACCAGCAGCACCAGTAACAACATCCTCTCAGCCACTACCATCTGAATCTACAACATGTCTACATACATACACTACATACATACGCTACATACATACAATCTACATACACACTAACATCTGAATCTACACCAATAACATCTAGTATTAGCACACGCGTATAGCACCAGCTCCAAATTTAATATCGGAGTAACTCAAGTTATTCAAAAAAATTTCAAAAGGAATTTGAAAAACAGTTGCAATAGTCCAATCGCTGACGCATTTTGGGAACAAATTTTTTTGTATCCAACACGTTGACACAAATTGACAAAAAAATGTAGACGTACCAAGATTTAAAGAGGAGTGTCTCAATAAACTTGAAATACTTGAGAGATTGAAAGATTCTGACAGCAAATGAATTAGCAAATGAAGCTAATGTAATAAGTTTTAATGATAAGTAGCAAATAAATCAAGGAACAATAATGACTCCTACAGCAAAGACTCCCACAGTAGCAAAGCCAAACCAAGTGTAAAAGTAAAAAGTGTAAAGAATTATTTACCTTATATTTAAAAAGGTGAAAACAATTCGGTAAATCAAATTAATATGAGACAAAACGATTATTTCATAGGTGCAGAGCAGGTTGGGCAAGGCAAAACTTATTAAAATTTGTCCGTTAAAAGAGTTCAATAAATAATAT